CCAAGATATATATATAATTACACTTAACATTATCTCTTTAAAATACTATTTTTTGTATTTTATTTTTTCATGGAAAAGGGGGGCAAACGATCAGACAGGTCACCTGATGGAAAGCGACTACTGCCGCCCATAAACGCCTGCAACTCAGGAGTCAGAAGCGCATTGCCGGCATTTGAGGAAGGAGTACGATTTTTTCTTGAAGGTTTAGAGGTCATATCGGTCTGAAAATACTGCAAACGATAACTTGTTCCACAGGCTGGTTGTTCGAGGTGTCTTGAAGCGCCCATAGACTCCTGGAATTCAAAATAGTCATTAGTGTACCCTTCTCCCAGAAACAGAGGAGAGGGAGTTTAAGCTATGTAGTAATTTTTTTTTATCGTGTTGAAACTCTTTTGGAGAACTTCCATGTGCGAAACCATCACCTCACCTTAGCTCACAATGAAGTGGTATAGAAGTTGTTAAAGCCTCATGTGGTCCTCAATACCATCACACTTTCCGTGTGGTGACAGATTAAGAATACTTAGTGTCATCACCCCTATTCATCCCCTGGGTGTCGTAAGAGCTGACTAAGGGAGCAAACTACCCAGGACAACAAAACTGCAAAGAGAAGGAAAACTTGACACAAACCCTATACCAACCCGTCTGGCCAGCGGTGTATAGTAGGCCAAAACCTTCTTTCTAAGAAGAGGCCTTTGTCCAGCAGTGACTTATTCACTGTTACATTCAGCATAAAAATTGCATTGGCGTTAGTTAATTATGGTTAAATGGTTGTTAGTTTTATGTTCTATTCTTTTTCTAGGTTTTAGTTAACTTTCTAACGTCGGTTGTAAACACCAACATTGTATTTTCTTACGGATATGATAACGTTTCAAATTATAATGTCTGCTTCATCTTTACGGACACTTTACCCAATAATTTATTTAACTCTGACTAATATTCTGGTGCATGTACCCTACAATATTTCAAGAAATCTAAAAATTTAAGTTCTTTAATAATATTTGCTTTTGACTGCACGGATGGCGTAGTGATTTAAGTGGTACTACGCCGAGTGTTGTGGGTTCAAACCCCACATGGGACAACACTTTGTGTGATCCACAAATTGTTGTTCTGAGTCTGGGTGTTCTTTGTGTCCGTTTCATGTATGCTTGTAAAGTCCCCCGCGACACAGGAATATATTCCTAATGCGGGCGTTGTCTTTAAAAAAAAAAATGATATGAAATGATTATCATTATTTACCAGAGACCTCAAAACTTTTCTCGATACTTTATTTATGTCTTAATTCCAATGTTTACCAACGATAAATAACTTTCAAATAATTAATTATGGTTCTAGATTTATCGAATCATTGAAAAACATGTTTTAAGCGGTATATACCAATAATCGGGTTATCAATACTAATTGATATGTTATCAAGGACTCAATGAGTATTTATGATCTCTCTTAAGCTATGCATTAGTATGGAATTTCAAGTGCACTGCACAATTGATTACTAGCGATTTAGATGAAATTTGGTATGGACATAGTTTGATTCTTGAGGAAGGAAATGGGCAAGGACAAAGGAGCCGCGGCCAAAAGCTAGTATTTTAAATTTACTAGCACGTTTTGAAATCGTAGAATCGAAAAACTTTTTATTCATTATTCGTATTGTTAGAGAAAATACGAGTATGTACACTTACTAGGGACTGTTATGATCCTGTCGGGAAGAGGTTCTTTGTCGCTGACATAAACAGATATCTGTGTATCCTATGCACAAATACCCGATGCAACGGTATCTTCTTATGTAAAACAGGTTTTAACTTCACCTTAGGTAACTTTATTTTTTTCTAAAATAGTTAAACCGTGTCTAATGGATGATAGCTGCTTAGTGAATAAATTACCTGCAATAAATAGATCTAATTTATAGTATACACACATATTAAATCTTGTGATAACGATAGAACATATTTCTAGCGATCCTGAACATAAGATGAAATCCGTTACAGTACTCTAGATGAAATCATAAGATGGGCAAAGAAGCATAAGAGAATATTATAACTGACAGTGTAGAAGCCAGAATTCCCCTTCCAATATCGTAAGTCACTTCGAGGTAAACGGATGCATTGCTATTATTAGGCCAAAAGCGAAATTGCAGTATAGTCAATACACAGAATTCAATGATCTTAAAGAGAAGTTGGAATTAATTTTTGATTTAAAATAGTTAGAAGAAGAGGCGTCCATGTGGTGACGGATTAAGAGTGTCACCACCCCTATTTATTCCATGGGTGTCTTAAAAGCCTACTAAAGGAGCAAAATACGCAGGACAATAGCGCTACAAAGAAAAGTAAAACTTGATACTTGATTAAATGGAGATTCCTCTGTCCAGCAGTAGACTATAAAAGACTGTAGATGAAGATATAAGTCTTGCCTCAAAGTGACTTCTTATTATGACTCCTGAGTTGCAGACGTTCATGGGCGGCGATTATCACTTTCCATCAGGTAACCCGTCTGCTCATCTGCCCAAAAAGTGGATAAAGTCCGGAATGCAGAGCTGCTGCTCGCAATATTTAAAGAAATATATGTCATGGACCGCAAGACTTTAAAAGCTAAAGAGTAGTAAACAATAAGAAAGATTTATGTTCGAGGATTGTTTTGATCCTGCGTCGGCCAATTTAAACATAACCATTAGCTTTAGATTTAATAGAGAACATTTTCTTTTTGATCTCATTCCTTGTAGATAGAGAAAAGTTTTTTTTATTTTTTTTAATGTTAGAGGGGGCAGACGAGCAGACCGGTCACCTGATGGAAAGTGACTATCGCCGCCCATGAACGTCTGCAACTCAGGAGTCACAAATGCGTTGCCGGCGTTTTAAGAAGGAGTACGCTCTTTTCTTGAAGGTTTGAAGGTCGTATCGGTCCGGAAATACCGCAGACGTTAACCCGTTACGATAACACAGATTGAAATCCAGGTAATGAGTATGAAAATTTTGCCGTGTGGAACGATGGCGGAAATTTGCAGCTGGTATTAGTCCGAACAATTCCTAGGAGCACTCTCCATGATATATGCGATGGAGAATGCAGAGTGAAGTGACATCTCTACGTAACGCCAAGGGATCGAACCTGAAATGTTTCGGCTGTCGACGACTCGAGTCGCTCTTCGTTGGATGCGGTCCAGAGGGAGAAGCTCGCACTGAGGTGCCACTGCATAGAGATGAGAACAGTATTCCATATGCGGCCGGACTTGTGCCTTATAGAGCTAAAGGCGGTGGGCCGAATGGTAAAATACTGCCTCGATCTGTTCAGTACACCGAGTTTCTTCGAGGCCAATTTGACCTTACCTAAGTGACCCCGCAACTAGACTTCGCTCGATATGTCGATGCCTAGGATTCCGATGCTGGCTGAGGCAGTTAGGGAGGTGTTTTTTGCGGTGAACGCACATACCTGTGTCTTTTTTGGGTTAAACTAGACTAGATTAAGTCGGCCCCAATCTGAAACCTCCGCTAAAGAAGTTTCAATTTCACACACAAGTTTGTTTCGACTCTCTATGACGTTTTCCCGAGAAATGTTGGGGCGGCCGGTATAAATTGCATCTCCTGTGCTAAAATTTGCATAGAAATGGATGCCACTAGTTTGCAACATGTCATTGATATGCAGAAGAAATAGTGTGGGTGATACCACACAGCTTTGTGGGACACCAGCATTTACGAATTTCAAGTCGGAGCATGCACCGTCGACAACAACCATAATGCTTTTGTCCGCAAGGAAGCTGGTGACCCAATTACATAATTTCTCGGGAAGCCCAAAGGAAGGGAGCTTCGAGAGAAGCGCCTTATGCCAGACCCGATCAAAGGCCTGCGCTATGTCCAAACCAACCGCACAAGCCTCTCCTTTGGTCTCGATCGCCTGTGCCCACCGGTGTGTTAGAAAGACGAGAAGATCACCAGCTGAGCGACCCCTGCGAAAAGCATATTATCGGTCATTGAGTAGCTGGTGATCAGCCAAGTACCGGAGGAGCTGACTGTTGATTATGGATTCCATAATCTTAGAGAACAAAGGAGTTATGGCTATAGGCCTGTAGTTGGACGGGTCAGAGCGATCACCTTTTTTAGGGATCGGGTGCACAAACGCTACCTTCCAGGATTTCGGGACGACGCCTTGGGAGTAGGAGAGACGAAAAAGGCGCGTTAAAGCTGGTGCCATCTCCGGAGCAGACATCTTCAACACGATAGGAGAATTTCCATCGGGCCCACACGACTTATGAATGTCGAGGGAAAAGAGTGCTTTAGGCACAGATTTTTGTGTGTACCGGATATCCGGCATATAGCTCTGGCACCGCGGTATGGGCGGCGGTACGTTTCCCCCATCATCCAAAGTCGAGTTGGATGCAAAAAAATTGCCTAGGAGATCAGCTTTCTCCTTGGCATCATAGGCCAACGAATTATCTCCCATCCGCAGGGGTGGAAAAGGTGGAAAGGTGGAAGTTTAAAGGATTAAGTTAACTTTGACTGCTTAGACCAATGACTGGAGTGTGGTTTGGTTTGGTGATTTAAAGATCCAAACAGAGATTCATTCAAAACAAATATCCTAGCAAACTACTTCGTTATTTATCAATATACAGACTTCCAAGAAACATCAAAATATTGGTGGGGAAAGAGCAGGTTTTGCCAAAATCGAACACTACACTCTTAAAGCACCATTTTAAATTTTACACGTTCTTAATACGAGCAAGTGCTAATTTTTGGAAACAAAACATTGATTTTGACATCTTGTAAATACGCAAGGCTTCTGCTTATTGCTTATTTTATTGTAATATGTTTATTGTTTGAAATTATTGGTTATATACAATATATATTAGGCAGTAAATATGAATGATCCAATCTATTGAACAAAACCCATAAATATTTATCTCTAATTATATTACGATGTTTGGTCGATTATTCACGTATTAGATAAAATAAACATAGGAACTATATATATATATAGGCTCAATATTGTGAAACGTTTCACATTAGCAAGTAGCAGCAATGGCTTATCTCAGTTGGGCTATCATCCTGCTGGCAGGTAATATTTTTTATCTAAAAATATAAAAAAACACATAACCCAGAAACCTATAAATCATAATAATTGATGTCTGATAAAGATAAAAGTCAGGCCCTAAATTCTGCCCAGGAAATTGGACTATTTGATTTGACTAGCGATCTCCTCAAACTACAACTATGAATATTCCTTATCTTAGCTTTATTTGTCATTCTTATGGCAATGCGATCCCTAAGGACAACTATGAATATTCATTATCTTAGTTTTATTTGTCATTCTTATGGCAATGTGTTCCCTAAGGACAACTATGAATATTCATTATCTTAGCTTTATTTGTCATTCTTATGGCAATGTGATCCCTAAGGATTAGGTAGTGGAAGGTACATCACTTCGATCGCGTTATTGTAATAAATACACGATGTGTAAAATACCAATATCTAAAGAATTGTGATTTTAATCAATTATGTATTACACAATTAGTATGACACATAATCGACTAAAATTAAATTCTTTAAAATTTTATGACGCCCAAGAAATTTACCTGATGATGGACCTATATTTTAAGAGATTTTGGACAGCGTTTAATCTTTTTGAAAATAACGTGATTTTTTTCTACTTCGACTTAGTCTTTACGGACTGTAAACTGAAATGAACTGTGTTCATTTAAATGTTGTATAGAGTATACACGTTGGTTTGTCCAAGAGATTTGGGTATTATTTTTATTAGTTAATAGAGTTCCGGCAACCCAGTTTAGACTTAACTTTTTTAAGTTTAGAATGCTCTCATGCCATGTATACCGTGTCATGCCAGTATGTAATAGTAAGTTTTGACTTATGATTAGGCGCAGTTTGGCACATCATGTATACGATTCTATTTACATCCCAAAACCCATCATACAATAACATCTGTTCTGTCTGTACAAGCCCCCCATCACCTCAGTTTTAATATTAGGTTTCATTTAACTTACTTTTTTTAACACACAGGCTTGACCTGCACTAATGCTCTCGGCAAACGAATCAGCCTTCTAGAACGCCCTAGCACGGTCCAAGTCGAATTCCGCATTTATAACGGTTGGTCTCAACAGTGCATGGGTAATGTGATTACTAGCTATGTCATGTTGTCTGCTGCCACTTGCTTCGAGAATGCGTAAGCATACCTTAAATAATGATAAACTAATATAATTATAAAATAAAGGTAATAGTGTTTTCTCAATCTGTTATGTTTTCCACCAATGTAGCAGCTACGACTACCGCCGTATCCGTGCTGGAACTGAAGTCCGTGGTACTGGCGGTTGGGTCTTTGAAATCAACAGCATTCGCGACCACCCCACCTTCGGCGTCAATAGCTATGGTGCAGATCTTGCTCTAATTAGAGTGCAATCTTATTTCCCACCTGGACCACTAATTACTCCCGTTGCCATCGCTTATCAAGGCCACCATCTTATACCACAACAGACCGTAGACCTTGTTGGTTGGGGAAGTACTGCGGTAAGTGTCCATGTTTTGACTCATTCACTCATATCATTATATTTGTTATGGAACATTGCGGAATTTATTTAAAAACTTGCTGTCAATCTACTGACCTACTGATGGTTGGGTCTGTTGAATTGTAGTGGTCCCATTTGCTACCTGGTGACCCGTCTTATTTTCCTACCACAAAGAAAAAAGAAAGCCGTGTGGTGCCGTGGGACACCCGATAGGAACGAAGTTGTGACGATCGAGTAAAACTGATTCGACACGATTTTAATTACAACGCCATCTATGAAAGCGGCTATTACCTACATATTTTTCAGTTGGTTTCTAATTAAAACAATTTATACATTGGTAAAATCTCCTTGAGAAATGATGTCGAATACAATATTTTTTGCTCAACCTAAGAACATAAATTTTAATTTTACTGAGATAAAAAGTAATGATTTCCTATCTATTCGATAGATGGCACTGAATGACTGACAAGTAAAATTCAAAATAAAAAGTGTCGTCACAACTTTTCGTGAGATTTTTTTCCGTCTAGCCCCCTTTCACAACGCGCGATAAGGAACTTCGTTCCAAAAGATTTTACTTGCGTATGTCTGTTGGAATACCCAACTAGTTTTTAACGTAACGGAGTATCTTTATCAAAGAATGAAGTGTTAGAAACTGCAAGTTTCTTTATAGTGCTGTTGTCCTGCGTAGTTTACTCCCTTGCTCCTACGGGATTAACAAACCCTGATTGGTGACACTTCGTATTCTTAATCCGTCACCACACGAAAGAATGTCGATAATGTTTAATTTAATTTGCTAATAAAACTTGATACCTTTATAAATAGGTAACTCAAAAAGTCAGTTGCTGTTGCAAAATCAGAGCTTTCCAATGTTACCCTTTTTTTCAATTAAGTTAATTTAATTAGGTTAATTCCATTTATTGTTGACAGGAGGGTAATCTACTTAGTAACAACTACCTCTACAGTCTTAACCTCGTAGTAAGGAGTTACTCCGATTGCCAGAGACTGCACGGATCTCGCGTCATTACATCAAACATGCTCTGCGTTGGTCTTAGCACTTACGGAGGCCGTGATTGGGACCAAAGAGATGCGGGAGCTCCTCTCTTCTATGGTAATGCATTAGTTGGCATAGTCTCCTTCGGTGTTCCCCACGGTCAGGACGCAAGCCCGATAGTGGCCACGTCCATCGGTTCATACTCCGATTGGATCCGTTTATATGCTTCTGGATGGTAATTGGTAATTGATTATGGTGTATAATAAAATATTTTGAAGATAATGGTATTGTATGTTATTTTATCCAACTTAAGTGTTATGTATAAGATTAAACACCAAATGATAAGTAATTCGAACATGACCCTACTACTCTACTCTTATGAGTCTTAGCTTAGCTGGAGGCTTAAAAAGAAAGACTAGAAGTAATCCAAATGTTGACACTAACCAGTAAACTAACAGGCCAATATAACAAATAAATGATAACTACGAGTAGTGACTTTACTATTGTAGTGAGACTACTGTTGCGTTTTCCGATACTACTTTGATACGCCTCTTGTTAGTAAGTTGTGTTAGTATTTATACTCTAATATTAATCGTGTGTGAGCTAACATATATACGTACATACAAACAGAGATTTATAAAATCTAAAATATCAATAAAATCATAATAATAAGTAAGTGATTTGGGGTAATGAGGTGACATACATAGTTGTAACAAAGAATGTACGCGATGCATTAACAATACTCCCCCTTTGGAAAATTGAAATTACAATAAAACAAGTTAAATAACTGTAAAGCTATGATAGGTATAAATAACCTTAAATAATTAACAGATAATTAACTAATTGATTACGGCAACTGCTTATGTTGCAAATCGCACTACTGGTCGAATTTTTCTGCCAAACCGGGTGATATACCGGCTTGTGCTCGTTTCTGGTGATGCACGCTGAGTGTTATGGTTGAGAGTCGGTGCGTCTGACGTCATTCTTGTGGATCCTCCTCTGCAGTGTTAAAGATGACTCGTTTCAGAACTTTGAAAGGACCTTCGTAAGGAACAGTCAGTAAGTTTTTAATTGTGTATCTTCTGAGAAAAACGTTATCAAAGGATTATAGCTTTTTGTTTATAAAACATTTCCGATTTGTACTTGCCTGTTTCGTTTTTTAAGACGCGCGGGAATTTTATTTTAACTGTCTGACGTAATCTGTGTCGTTGACCGACGTTTTGCTATCAGTTAACAAGTCACCCAGTTAGTGCTATTGCAAGTGGCTATGAGCGCTGCTTTAAGACTTCTGTGCCATATTTCTATTTGTCTGTTGGCTCATGAATGAAGCTTCAGTGTTATGCGGACAACTGCATAACTACATTGACTATGGTAGAATCCATAAAATATCTCGGAGTGTTCATCAATCATCATCAACAGGCTATAACAGCCCACTGCTGCACATATGCCTCTCCTTAGAAAGGAGGTTTTGGCCTACTATAACACGCTGGCCAGACAGGTTGGTATAAGGTTTGTGTCAAGTTTTCATTCTCTTTGCAGTGTTGGTGTCCTGCGTAGTATGTTCCCTTAGTCGGCTCCTACGAGATCCACGGGATGAATAGGCGTGGCGACGTGTGTGTGTGTGAGTGTGACGAGTGTTCGTCCATCACAAACAAGACTAGACCACTCAATTGGAGTCATTAACTTTTCGTACCAGAAGACTCATATTTAAAAAACCTAAGGTTTTCAGTGGATAACAATACTTTCCGAATGGTCTACCTGGCCCTTTGTCAGTCTATCCTGACGTACTGTATTCCTGTTCAACTCACTGTTAAACTCACAAATTGAGTTACTAAAGTTAGAAAGGACTCAAAGGGAATTGTTAATAATAATTTATTTTGAACCACGGGACTACTCGACATATACTCGTATGTCATACTCAGAACGCAATGTCCTAACTGTTTGGCAACAACACGTGCACACACAGACACTTTGTTTCATTGTAATTCTTTAATAACATAACAACAGAAAGAGTTTCTTAAGGTACAGACAGGTTTCCTGCCCAGTTTAGGAAAGAGAGTCCTATGATCTATTGGATATATGTTGTGCTGGTTTTTCCTTGTAAATTTAGGTATATACGACAACTCTGTGTGTACTGATTAAATCACTTGTAATTACAATCACTTGTAATCAAATTAGAATAAATTATAAAATTAAACTATTTTTTTTTGCCAGGGGTAGTTGCTGATCACGATAACCTTTTCTTTCAGCGGGCGAATACCATCTCTATCAATGTGGTATCCTAGGAATTCTAGCTCACTCTTGCCGAACTCATGGCAACAACGCTGGGATGAATCATCCAAGGGGCGCCATCGTTACCAATTCTTTCCATCTGTTCGCGAACGGTTGTCGAGGACATGGCTTGAGGTGGATCACTGTGTCGCTCAATTTCTTACGGGTCATGGTAACTTTAAGAGCAAGCTTTATTCATTTAAATTAGTCGAGTCACCATTGTGTCAATGCTCAACACCTAACTCTCACTATGAACAGTCTGCTCATCATATCCTGAATATCATATGCTGAATACCTTGCAGGTGACATCTGGGGCGGTATACTATGGGGATCTTGTGTCAACTAGGATGAATTTCCGTGCGTTTAGGCGATTCTGCCATACATATTATAGAAATCAAATATAGCTCACGTAGGACCCGTAATATTTCGTGGCCGTGGTGCTTCCCTGTTTAAAAGGGTGTATGCCCATTTTACTTCATTTTGTCTCCCGCTTTGCTAAGGAGGGACGTGGATTTACTGTATTTCCAACTCCTCCAATTTTCTTCTGATTAATTTCGTTGCGGGTTCCAAGACAGTTTAATTTCTTCCTGGGACTTCCCGACTGTCATAACTCGGTGTGTTCGTGGGTCACTGCTGTGGATCCTGGTGTACAGGAGTTACAGTGGTGGGCGTGTGGGCGGGATTAGCCCCATCTTGCCGAACTCACCGTTGTTTATGATCAGCATGAGCCCATCCTCTGCTCCCTATCTATCAAAAATTTTGTACTACTGTTTAAGCCATTAATACAGACAGCAGTTTGGCGTTGAGTTGACGTCGAGTCCTGCCACAGTCAGAGTCGAGATTAGTTTACCGACTGCTTCCCTGAGGATTGGAACGTACAGTTGCTTTTTTCACTTAAGTCTCTAGTAATAGCGCCTAATTTCTTAAGGGCTATAAAACTAATTGCTTTGACTATAGAAAATCATCATGCTCCAAGGTGAAAATCTTATAAATGATGACTGATATTTATTTCTACAAGTAAATATTTTCGGACTTTACAGGCGCTGGCATTTCCCAAGACTCACTCTGGGAAGAAACGATGAAACAAACCATAGAGGTGTCTTTTTTTAAGTCCGTGTCCAATGTTAAGAAGAACTACGTGAGTCCAGTATAGGGTCTGGGTTGGCCTATTGAGGACCATACTTTTGAGTCGGCCCGTCTGTACGGGAGGGGCGGGCCGCCGTCGCATTTTTTTATTAAAAGACATAGCCCGCATTAGGAATATATCTTTACAAACATATATGAAACGGACACAAAGAACACCCAGACTCAGAACAACAATTCGTGGGTCATACAAAGTGTCGTCACATATGGGGATCGGACCCACGACGTAGTAAGCGGCGAGGTGACCGCTTAAACCACTACGCCATCCGTGCAGTCCAAGTATCAAAACAAATTGTAAATTATTCACAAATATCTGGCAACAAAGTTCGAAACGGTTGAACTTTAAACTCACCCCTACAAACCTACTATGGGAGATGAGTTTGGATTGGAGTCCGTCCAATCTAAACTCGTCTCTCTCTTACACTCCACATATTATACCTAAATGATCATATCACGTGCAGTGTGTAATACGTAATAGCTTTCAAAACTTAAAGTATCTTAGGAACAACATTACCTTCAAAACAAATGGCTTCAAAAGTAAAGCTTATGAAAACTGAAGTTTTAATAAATTAGTAAAGGACATTTGAATTATTCATACTTTTTGTACTCCTCTTTAGGTTTTTTAACGTGTTTTTTTTTATAAAAGCTGTAGTAAATAACAACAACAGCAAATACAATTAAAGATGTATTCCAAGGTCTCACCAGCAGTCGTACATAGATCCGTAGAGTAGTAAATAAAGACAACAGGACTTAACTACAACAGAAAGTAACTTCAGGTTTGTTCTTAACACTAACTATCAAAATTTCAATTATTATTCATTAGAATCTAATTTAAATCAATCAAATTATTTTTATTAATTGAGGTAGTTTGTAGTTAAAATACGATAAATCCATATCTCGAAAATGTTTGCATCGTACTAATTATAATTTGCTTAATTAGTTTCAAGCCTTGAGTGTTGATATTGAATACTTACTAATAAATATTAATAATTGATAAGTATATGAAACTTTATTCAGTAAAATAAAAATATCTAAAAAGAAAAAGAATTAACAGTTCTGACAGATTAAAGTATAGCGATGGGGTCAAAGAAATCGATTACTAAAATATCTGATTCTTAAGAGATTTCGATATAATTTCTTAGTATGTACTAATCGATTACAGTTTTACAGATTTATGTATGGTACTATAAAAACCCGTGTAATGGCACATGATAGGTTGTACTAGTAAAGCTTAGTATACACTAGACTCGGACACGAGCGCTTTTGCCTTCAAAGATTTTATTAAAATTACATTAGCTTACATACTTTTAATTTTAATTATGCGTTTTCGTTGAGATTTGGATGTCAGATGTTATTTTAAGTATTTTTAAGCACTAAGACGCCTGGACCGAAAATTACTCGTTATTAGTAAATTCGATTTTTCGTACATCATCATCATCATCAACAGCCTTTAATAGTCCACTGCTGGACATAAGCCTCTCCTTAGAAAGGAGACCGGATTTTTTTACTATTATTAAACGAAGTAAGGGAAATCAAGCCTGATGTAAATCTGAAGTTTGGAAATGTCGTCGGTACCTTTAAACCAGTAGGACCAGACTATAGACAGCTTCTTTTCAAGCGACTAGACTACTTATGCAACAAGCCAAAGAAAAATAAGATTGATATTGCATTGCTGCTGTTGCAACTACAGAAGGACAAAGTTGCTTTTATGCTGTGCAAAGAGTTCTTTTATATGGTGTACCGTGGTGGGGCTCCCGTAGAGCCCGACCTTATGGAGGACATTTGACATTTTTTCGTACATTTCAATGATTATTCGCATTCAAGTAAATTTGAAGAGCCACAACACTTACGTTAAAGGACCTAACTACGTGACTTGTAAATTAAATTTGAACAATCTACATCTATTATGTATAAATTGGTTATTTTGCTTTGTTTCAAATATTTTAATTTTAATTTAGTCATTAAGAATTGCGACAAAATATGTTTTGCGCAGCTGTCGCGCTACATTCTAACCAAGCCATTCAAGTCGGTGTCAAGCCAAGTACGTACCTATTTAGCTTGGCACCGACTTCAAACAAACTAGAGGGGACTATTGCTATTATTGTTGTATTGTACACAGCTCTGCATCTCCCAAAGGTTGACTGGAAGAAAATGCCTATAATATAATATTTCATAAAATTTCGGACATCTGACACCCAACAACTAAGCAGAGCTTGTACTATGAAAGCTAGAATGACTGATAGAATACTTATATACTTTTTTTTGTAAATACATACATATTATACATAGAAAATACCCAAACTCCAAACAAATATTTGCAGATCATACTAACGTTTGGTCCGCCGACCCGGGAATCGAACCCGAGACCTCAGCAGTCGCATAAACTACCACTGCGCCATCGAAGCCGTCTATGGCATTAAGTCCGCGTTATGCAATGTATTTGCAGGAAGTATTAAATAATAATAATATGAACTTGCATATCACCAGCTAGCTAAACCGTGGATAAATGATAGTATGTAAATAAAATAAAATTATTAACTAAACATTTACTTAGTTCTTTTCCAATAGCAAATCTGTAATTTTAAACGTTCAGTTACTCTATTTTGACTGCTTAAAATTTCACCTATGGGTAATTGAAACTAATATTTGCTTCGAAATATATTTTTTCTGTTTACTTATATTTTTTATATAACTTTAGATTATAAGACACACCAATGAATACAAACTGTATTTGTACTATGTTTTTATTGTACAATAAAGAGTTATCTTTCTATCTATCTATCTATTATGCCTTAACCTATCACCAGATTCCAGCTTGAAATCGACTTCTGGGACACCTGTATGTTCATTTTTTTATGTCAGAGGGGGCAGACGAGCAGACGGGTCACCTGATGGAAAGTGAGCATCGCCGCCCATGAACGTCTGCAACTCAGGAGTCACAAACGCGTTGCCGGCCTTTTAGAAAGGAGTACGCTCTTTTCTTTTGAGTTGTTACCGTACGTTCCCACTTAGACGTAGCTATTTCTTTTATTAAAATTAATTAACGCAGGCTATTTATTTCTTAAGTAAAAATGTAATGTGGCTAGTGTGTTTGTTATTGTTATTATTTTTTATGTTTCACTTCATTTTCTCTTTCTAATCTTTCTAATCTCTCTTCCCAATCTTGTTTTCTCTTCATTGTCTTTTTTCCTTTTAATCCTTAATAACGGACATACTGACACACATCAAACCAATGTTGTGCTATATTTAATAGTGCCATTGTATCTATCTGTGAATTGCAAAAGAGTGGCCATGAGCCCTTTCTTCTCATAAGGCTCAACCCCTTGGAAACGGGCGGTTGTAGATCGGCACAGGCATATCATAGGTTTTGTATGGGTTTGATTTTTGTTAAATTTATTTGCTTACTATTTGACAAAACAGAGATTGTTGCTTTTGTATGTGTTGATCTATGACTATTTTAATTTTTTTTATGAAATAAAGAGAGTTTGAGTTTGAGTTTGACGGACCGTCTGTTTTCTCGGTCCGTCAAAAGAGACGGATATGCAGTGGAAGTATAATTTATATGTCAATGTTCACATTTAGACGGATCCGAGAAAAAGAACGGGTTTTTAGACGGACGTTTTGCCACTGCGAAGAGCCGACTAAACGCCCGGATCAGATATAGTGTGAACGAATTTTCCGACGAGATGGCACCAATGTACCTCCCTTCTATCCGCGGCTAACCGCGCCGCGCCCCGCGGATTATCAAAAGAGGAAATAGACCTCCGGACGTAGTTAAAAACCTTTGTTTCATTATTTCTTAATTCACCCATTAATATTTCAATTGTTCAAGCTGAAAATCTTTCTCGTAGAATAGGATGCACTCAATGTTTTCTTTAACTTCTTCTTCTTCTTAAATAACACCACAACACTGAGATGTCGTCATCGTCCATCGTGTACGAAGACTGAACGCAAACTGATCGGAGCCTGCTGGTGCAAGTGTCGCCGTCTCCCGTTTAAACAGACGGTCCGTCTAAGTGTGAACACACACGTCCGGCCGCCGTCTTCCGTTTAAACAGACGGTCCGTCTAAGTGTGAACACACACGTCCGGCCGCCGTCTTCCGTTTAAACAGACGGTCCGCCTAAGTGAGAACACACACGTCCGGCCGCCGTCTTCCGTTTAAACAGATGGTCCGTCTAAGTGTGAACACACACGTCCGGCCGCCGTCTTCCGTTTAAACAGACGGTCCGTCTAAGTGTGAACACACACGTCCGGCCGCCGTCTTCCTTTTAAACAGACGGTCCGTCTAAGTGTGAACACACACGTCCGGCCGCCGTCTTCCGTTTAAACAGACGGTCCGTCTAAGTGTGAACACACACGTCCGGCCGCCGTCTTCCGTTTAAACAGACAGTCCGTCTAAGTGGGAACGTAAGCTTACACATAAAATGATCGTGATGTAAAAGGCATGGAATTAACGCAGTTCAATAATGTGTACATTATTCGAGTGTCAATATTCCAGGTAGTCTAGGCTAGTTCTACATAGTTGGATTACTTATTACTGAGGGCGAAGAATATTGTATATATATATACACTATAAATATTAAGCGGCGGTAGCCTAGTGGTTAAGGCATTGGACTTGCGATCAGAGGTATATACACAATATATGTTTTTTATGAAATATAGTTATACTATCAATGTATTTCAACGTAAACGCAACTCTCGTGTAAACGGGGCCAACATATGTATATACTTATATACCGCGATGCCGGTAACGGTAACCCATCTCAAAAAAAACCTTTCTTTTGTTTGTTTTTACTTCAAAAAAAAAGAAAAATATTCTAGTATTTCTCTCTCTTACAGTCCCTTCTTTAAGGTGTGTTTTCTAAGTATAATAATATATATAATATGTATGTATTTACAAAAAACAGTACATAAGTATTCTATCAGTCAATTTAGCTTTCATAGTACAGCTCTGCTTAGTTTGAAACTAGATGGCGTTGTGTATTAAGATAAGAAACTAGTCCTATTGAGTAGGTTGTTTTCTGGACGATTTTGACTGGTACTTCTATCTCTTACCTCAAACCTTGTGAACAACTTATTCAGAGAGACAATATTTGGGTAAACAATTTTCAAGTTTCCATCCATTTCAGTAATTGAAAATGACATCAAATACAACATATATGTTATTAAAACAATGAATGGATTCTATCTTAAGAGATAAGATATTAAATTTATTGTAATCCACTCATAAAATGAATGCCTTGTGTGCGTTCATAAACGTAGTTAATCCTAATATTAAGTGTAATAAAACATATGTTTTTCATTTTACGCGATTGTGAACAACCGAACGGTGTAAGTAGATTACATATAGATAGAAAATTATGACGTAATTAACTTTATATTATGTGTGTTTCTACACAATCTCCTCCTCTTATCTCGCCCCTTCCCCTTTACTTAAATACCTACTATAAAATTTTACATTATAAAAAGTTAGGCATTACAAAAGATTTAAATAGCATTTACTCTTTACGGTGACGCAATAATGATTAATAAAGTGTAAAATATAGTGTTAAGTAATTAAAAGCGAAATAGAAACAATTGTACAATGGCGTTCTTAACTGATTTCTTTTAACACAACACAAGACCTATTTCTTAGCGTTCCATGGTTTTACCGTGCGGGTGCCGGGTCCATCGCGTGATACTAGTAGATGGGGGCAACACATGCGACTTCGATAGCGCCTGGGAATTGCGACTCAGGGATAGGTTTAGGGAGTTTCCGTCTTTTTGGAGGCGTCAGCGCTCACCTCCACTGTCTGCTATGTTACCCCTTCTAACTAACCATATTTGTTATGAGCCTAGCAATGCCGCTTTGGATATTCGTTCTAGAAAAGAGCTTACTGAAGCTCTTGGCAATCCAAGGGCTTAAAGCAGGTTATAGAGGGATTTAGCTGGTATACCCCTCGCACCCACTTCCACGGCATACAACGCAATAAAATAAGCATTTTTAGTGATTTCGTTGGTTAAGTCAAAGTACTTGTTTCTTTTGAAAGCGTTTACTTTAGGGATAGTTGTTCGTTTCGCTGTGCAAAAGCTAGCATCATCCCTATAACAATATAAAATAAATCTCTAAGCAACAGTATCTTTCGTGACACCTGGAAAACGCTCTTGTAATACTAATATTTAAATCAGTGGAAAAGCATCTAGTAGCTAATTATAGATCAATTTCAATTTGACAACGTGTTTGAAAACTTGTAAGCAGATATCTGATGTGGTACCTTCAACCACATATAGCTGAACAACAGTTTCGTTAAATCTAGATCAACCAATACCAACATATTATGTTTTACATCAGCTTTATCTAAGAGTCTTGACAGTCGTATTCCGGTGTATGCCATCTACACCGATTTTAGCAAAGCATTTGATAAAGTAGATCACCACCTTCTCATTCTTAAATTGGCTCAATGAGGCGTAGGTGAAACGCTGATCGGGTCATTTCAATCTCACATGATTAACAGAGAGTCAAAAAAGGTAATTTAGGGTCACTTCTCTCAAAGCTTTCTAGCAACGTCAGAAATTCTACAAGGATCGCATTTGGGTCCGATTCTTTTCAACGTTTTTATAAACAACATAACTGAATGTTTCAAACAAATGGTACTGGTAAACTTAACGAAATGTCTTTAAACATCACTAACTGTTGCTATCTTCAGTTCACACGTAATAAGAAAATGTTAGAAAACAAGTACTACATAGAGGGTATTAAAATTAAGAGAAATGGAAGCGTACGAGACCTTGAAGTTCAACTCGAGTTCAATTGTCATATTCTAAGTGTTGCCTCTAAAGCCTTTACAGCACTGGGCAAGTAAAGACGATAAAAACCCACCTAAAAAAATAATGCTCTTCAACACACTAGTCCACCCTATCTTAGAATATAATCCAGTGGTATGGAGTCCGGTATAGAAACCTCCTTTCTAAGGAGAGGCCTATGCCCAGCAGTGGACTATTAAAGGCTGTTGATGACGATGATGATGGAGTCCGCACTACGAGGTATACACCAAACGAATAGAGAGTGTTCAAAAGCGCTTCCTCCATCATCTGTGATACGGTGATCATTTAGCTAAGCAACTTACGAATACCACTATCAGGTTGAAACACTATAATATGGATACCAATTTACCAACCCGTCTGGCCAGCGTGGTATAGTAGGCCAAAACCTCCTTTCTAAGGAGAGACCTATGTCCAGCAGTGATCTATTAAAGTCTGTTGATGATGATGATGAATATGGATACTTTAGCCAGTCGTAGGAAAAAGCTGGACTTCATTATCCTTCACAAGGTACTAAGCGGAGCAATAGATTCAACTCGCAAATTCCAACTCGGATCCCCAGGCAAAAAACTTTTAGCTTTTTTTACATCCCTAGCTCTAATTCAAACCTGGGCAGGCAATATAACATGTCAGCTAAAACGATGGATTTAGACATATTCTTTGTCTAAATATAAGAAATGCTGAATAGCTTTAATGTAATGTAACACTCAAAGTTTTTTTTTATTATTTTAATTTTTTTGTGTAACTTATTTAAATTTTTAATTCCATTTTTTTAAATCCTATTATTGTTACTTTTTAGACTAAATTGTGTACATTGTTTGTAACTTTGTTCGCTTGGTTGATGCTATTAATATTTTTTTACTGTGCTTGCTGTAATCTCTTGTAAGTGAAAGAGTACGCCGAACTTTATACCCCTTCAGTCATTATCTGTTTTTTTTACTTGTCTAGAGTCTTTTTTTTAACTTGTGTATAACAAGTTAAAAAAAAGACTCTTTCATAGGAGATCCTAATAAATAAATAAGTATGTAATACTCTATCATGGCGACGTGAATAATGACCCCGGTTTAGTAGCGCCTTACAACCTGTCAGTAAGAGCCTGGCTACCTATTTCCGCACTGCACACCGTACAAGTGTTTTCTGTAGCTTTTGCCCACCTTACTAGGTTGCTTTCATCGGGAGAGGCTTACTTAAAAGGCGTTGAAGTGAAACTTTAATAGAGCAGCTGACCAATCGTATAAAAGATTTTGTTATAGAAAAAAAAATATGTTTCCTTTCTTTCTTTCTTTCTTTATCTCTATGTCGGTCTGTCTTCTAGCATTTCCCAATCCAACTATCCTGGACTGCGCACCCACCATGAATTCCTAGAGGAATTGGAGCCGTGACTCGATTTGTGATGATTTTTGTCTTTTGGAAGGGATCTAACGATTTACCCTTGTGATTTTGACATTTTTGTACTTATCCATGAACTTTTTCTGGTAGTTTGGTCTGTAGTAATTATTGTTTGACATCATCAACAGCCCTTAACAGTCCACTGCTGGATATAGGCCTCTCCTTAGAATGGAGGCCCTGGCCTACTATACTACGCTGGCCAGACGGGTTAGCATAGGGTTTGTTTCAAGTTTTCCTTCTTTTTGCAGTGCTATTGTTTTGCACAGTTTGCTCCCTTAGTCGGCTCTTACGACACCCACGGGATGAAAAGGGGTGGTGACACTCTGTATTCTTAATACGTCACCACACGGACCTCCGTCACCATACGGACCCATCCGTTGTTTTGACATAAAGTGTATTTTTTTAAATTGAAGACAATTCTTTGCTGGAAATCGCCTTTTTTTGGTGACGGGGTAGTACTTCTCTTCGGATCTCTGGTTCCTAGGGAACACAGGAGCCAGGAATATATGGTGTTTCCACTAAAAAACCACCCCAACGAACAGCCTGAAGCACCCTACTCTGGGCAGGACCCGGACCATGTTATTTCAGGTAAATAGAAATAAAATCTTTTTGAATGTCTTATTCCGTTGGCTTGTAAATTTTGAACTGACATTGCATATACTTTTGAACCATATAAAGTCTTTACAGGAGTTTTTACAGGAGTTACAGCGGTGGGAGTGTGCGACGGATTAGTCCCGTAGGATAAATGACTGGCTTAAAGATCATAACTTTGAGGATTGGCCATTGTGCTCTTTGTAATGGTATGCGGCTCCTTCCCAAACAAGTATTATCATCATTATCATCATCAACAGCCTTTAATAGTCCACTGCTGGACATAAGCCTCTCCTTAGAAAGGAGGTTTTGGCCTACTATACCACCCTGGCCAAACGGGCTGGCTGGTAAACAAGTATGCAATAACTTATCGAGTTATATAAAGTAAGTAAAATATTTATAAAAAAGTATTAAAGTCAAGAGAGTGGAGCAGTTTTAAATATAATTTTGTTCAATAGAGCTGTGTATTAGATATGTCAATAACATAAGATTGTCGAAGGCCCATTTATACGAACAGATCTATTTAGCATATAATAGACACATGATAGGCATTTAACTTTGTACAAGAGTTTATATTTTAGCAGGTGCGGAGAAGGAAAACTTGACACAAACCCTATACCAACCCGTCTGGCCAGCGTGGTATAGTAGGCTAAAACCTCCTTTCTAAGGAGAGGCCTATGTTCAGCAGTGGACTATTAAAGGCTTGATTGATTGATTGATTGGAGACGTGGACTCTGAAAAAAGCCGATCGTGACCGTATTGATGCATACGAGATGTGGTGCTAGCGAATGATGCTGGGTATTCCCCGGACTGCACATCGCACCAACGTTTTAATCCTGCAAGAACTCAAGATACAGACAAGGCTTTCTACTATCGTGCCTGCGTAGAATTCTGAAATAATTCGACAACATTAATTATCAGAAATGATGACAGCATGGCAGCTTGGAGAAGTCCTCACTGGTAAAGTGTATAGAAAAAGATCACAAGGTAGAACCCCACATTACAGATATATTACCCCCCATAAGTACATACATATCATAGATAAATTACACTCAGATATAGAACAAATAATCATGATCAACATACAACATTTGCCCTGGATTGCACGTTGGACTGGCCAGATCCGCACTACTCTTGACACCACAGTCCACAATGATCAAACATTGAGATTTAAAAGCTTGTTTGATAGCCATTGTATGATAGAATTCGCACTTTCAACATTCTTTGCCTCGTACAACCAAACGCGTTTTTTGACTCCTGAGTTGCAGACGTTCATGGGCGGCGGTGGTCACTTTCCATCAGGTGACCCGTCTGCTCGTCTGCACCCTCTAACATAAAAAAAAGAATTGCGGGCCTATGCATAATGAGCACGAGAGTTTAGACACTTCTGAGCAATTTTAGAGTGTCATCTACATAAGTGTTAATGGAAGAATAGAAAACTAAATGATTTATAATTTATATAAAGTAGTCACAAGATTGAGCCAAGAACCGAACCTTGGTGTACCAAACGCTAATAAGCAGAGGAATGTTATCATTGATGATGATGATGACTGATATTGGAGACCTATATAGGAAGGTAGCGGCTGAAAATTTGGAGTCCATAACCACGGATGCCTATTTTATTTTATACAAGTTTCTCACCAATATATCCTATGCCAAAAGACGACGATGACCTAGAACTAATGCAGTGTGACCATGTATGAGGCTTTTTCTGCGGTATCTTTTTAACTATTCAAAAAATAAACACTATCCTATCATTTAACAAAATCAATATTATTACATCTTAATAACGCGGTACAATTTAAGGCAGCAATAATATAATTTTATTTATTGATAAATTTAAAGAGTTTATCTTTTTTAATGATTATACCCCATACGATTAGAGAACCGTATAAAAGGGTCACACTTTCAGTAATATCCATTGTCTTATTGTCATAATAGGTTACAATGGCATTACTCACCTGGGCTGTACTGCTCCTAGCAGGTATTATATTTAAATAAAATTAATTTTTTAATTCATTTTTCATAGCAGTTTGTTAACTACTATAATCACTGTTCACCTTTGCTTACAAATTCAATGACATAACGTCACTCTATCTTCTTCCTCCGAGCCTTTCCCCTAACTTGTTTGGGTCGACTACTACGACAGAACTTCAATCTTTTTACGTCAAGCAACTGCCATCAGACCTTTACTATCCAAGTACTAGACAATATCGAAGTCCTATATAGATTGTTGTAGGAGTTTTGAGGACTCCGACTACCCATAGCGCTTGCGACAGATGTTCTTATGGTAACCGATACGTGTTCTCTCCGAAGCACATTATTACCGTGTAACTAATCAACTATAATTAGCATAGTTTGACACACTTACTGCATTTTCTCAGGTTTGACCTACACCCATGCTATTGGGGCACCAACATTACAAGAACAGTCACGCAGCATTGCCCAGATTCAATTCAAGCTCGTTTCTGCCTGGAGGCAACAATGTGTCGGTTCCATCATCAATAACTATTACGTCGTGACCACTGCCAACTGTCTCCAAGCTCCGTAAGTGTACCTACTACCAACTGTGAAGTGACTATACTAAATCACTAGCTGCACCCCGTGGTGTCACCCGCATAGTCGCAAAAATATTTCAATTCATTGCTCATCCTACGGGAACACTACAATTTTTCGGGATAAAAAGCTATGTGGTCTATGTCTTATCCGGGGTTGCAGCTACCTCCTTACCAAAATTTTATTAAAATTGGTACAGCTTTTTGAGCGTGAAAAAGTAACAAACCCAAAAATTTCCAGCTTTATAATATTAGTGTAATTTGTGAGAAGAAATATTTGGCATAAGTCTTAAGACTTGTGGCAAATATATGTATATATTTTTATGAAGATTTTCCTCATTTCAGCTCCAACAACCGTCGTCTTGCAGTAGGAAATGCCATCACAGGTACCATCCATGAGGTGGCTATTATTTATATTCACGACAGATTCTCGCCCTCCAGTAGAACTGCAAACATAGGTCTTGTCCGAGCTGGCACCAGCTGGTCAATCAATACACCCGATATTGGCACCATTCCTCTTGTGCCCCAGAACTACTACGTTCCTCTATACCATGATTTGTCTGTTTCTGGATGGGGTGTTACAGCTGTAAGTATAAAGGAGCCATATTAAACCCCCACATTACAGATATATTACCCCCATAAGTACATACATATCATAGATAAATTACACTCAGATATAGAACAAATAATCATGATCATCATACAATATTTGCCCTGGATTGCAAACAAACCCATAACCTCTAGCTTAGCACTCAGAATTGCTTATCACTAGACCACTACCGTCCGTGTGGTCACGGATTAAGTCGTCGTCGTCCGTGTGGTGACGGATTAAGAATACAAATTGTCACCACCCCAATTCATCCCGTGGGTGTCGTAAGAGCCGACTAAGGGAGCAAACTAAGCAGGACAACAGCACTGCAAAGAGAAGGAAAACCTGAAACAAACCCTATACCAACCCGTCTGGCCAGCGTGATATAGTAGGCCAAAACCTCCTTTCTAAGGAGAGGCCTATGTCCAGCAGTGGACAATTATAGGCTGTTGATGTGATGTGAGACCACTACCAATAGGCCCGTCAGTTATGATGTACATACGTAAAACACGTTTATTAAATCTAATCCTAATCTTTAGCAGAGGCTGTGTTTAGCAGCACACCAGTCGTAAAATACACACTTTTTATTTAAACGACTATTAGCATTAGGAATATATCCTGTGTCGCAGGGATTACATACATGAAATGGATACAAAGAACACCCAGACTCAGAACAACAATTTGTGGATCACACAAAGTGTCGTCCCACGTGGGGATCGGTACTCAGTGTAGTAGTAAGCAGCGTAACGACCGCTTAAACCTCTACGCCATCGGTGCAGTCGAATATTATCATACCTAACAAAAACATTTATATTTATACATTTGTTATTTACAGCAAGGAGGCATCATTGCCAACCAATACCTCTACACAGTTGTCTTACAAAAAAAGCCCATAACGAGTTGTTTGGATCATCACCAAGGCCTCGTCAATGCCGAGAACATATGTCTTGGTCTTGTTGGTAGGAACGGCCGTGACTTCGACCCCAGTGACACTGGTGCGCCCGTCGCCTACGTTTTAGACGGCAGGAGCTACCTTTATGGAGTTCTCTCCTTCGGTTCTTCCGCTAGAAACAATGAGATACCTATTGTTGCCGAATCAATAGGCGCTTACTCTAACTGGATCCGAGACACAGCCGTGTAAAGAAAACATCACAGTAACATTATACTAACACGTTGTTAAATTATCACGATGCCGACGTATTTTGTTTGTCTTATTATTTGAATAGATCATTTCAAAAATAAAATTATTGGTTGTTTAAATATTTTCTTTTTACAAACTACATTAGATATGTGTGTTGAGGTAAAATCGTGGGTTCTTTTTGTGTTTACTTCAAATATACAAATATTTTAATATATGTTTATGATGATGATGATGATGATATATCTTTTCATTTTAGGTTAGATGTTTAGGAAATGTTCGACCAGAGTACCAGGGCCTCATAGAAAACCGGTGTAAAGTATTGTTTTGTTACTTTCACCGAGTGACTTAGGTTCACACAGGCTTAAACCAAGCTCTCTCTAATCCTTGGGCTTCATAAAAGTGGCACTCTCTTTACGCAACGCGCTTGTGGTTGCAGTTGCAGGCGTTCCTTGGTGGCAGCAGTCAATTTACATCAGATCACCTGTCAGCTGGCCCCAATATTATTTAAAAAATGTGAGAAGTTAGTGAGGTTTCAACTGCGACTACGTAGGAAGCGGTGTACAGACCTTTGGTAAAAATATTTTTCCCAAAATTTCACTTCCCAAAAAACTTATCGGTGTATGATTTTCCAAATAATTCTTTAGTAGAGAGTAGTGCATTTTATTCACTTGGTCAATCTATAATTTCAAATAATGTTACTGTGTCAACTTTTATGCAAAATGTTTAGTATGCAAACAATATATATTAGCAAATTTATTCCAAAAAATTGTTTGTTGTGTAAACTGCTGCCAGAAAAGTAGGGTAGATTAGCCGTAGCAAGATATTTACTACCCCAAAATAAATTCGCTGTTCCTGCCTCTAAAATAATTATATTTAACTCAAAACTGATTTTGTGTATAAAAATTTATATCAAAATACCACATAGGTATTAGAAATATAGAATGTCACTTTTTTTTTTCAAATTTTATCATATTTTACAATACTGTCAAACGATAAAACTATAAACTCAAAAATATCAGTAGTATAAATTTTATTACGTGAAATATATTATTTTGATTAGTTTTTACAATTTAAGTACAGGTTTCACACATTTGGCCGTTTTACAACATGTAACCGGCCAGTTGACGTCTTTTTTTATACTCACTCTTAGGCCGGCTGGACCGGGGCTGCAGGCATCCAGAGAGTAGAGTCCTCTGGTGTCAGATTAGAGGAACTGTTGCATTAGGACGCAATGGGGCCGCCGCCACGTTGTTATTGAAGCGACGTGGGGAGTCCAAATGACAGGGGGAAGTTTGAAGCTTTTTAGTAGAATTACCACATACTCCTGGCTCCTGCGAGCCCAAGGAGATAGATACCACGGCCTCACAGAAAACCACTTCTAAGTAATTTCTTCAAACTTTTCTCCGAGTGAGTTAGGGCACAAGAGCCCAACTCCACCACTCTCACTAATTTTGATGGTGGGCACTCAACTCAACTCACTTGAGTTGCAAGTACCCATGAGCGGCGGTAGTCACTTACTATCAAGTGGCGTCACTTGATAGTAATTCACTACCGTCTCCTCGTTTTCCACCTATTTTATAAAAAAATATATGGTAGGAGCTTGCAGGGTTACAGTCGATTAGCTTATATTTTTAATTAAATTACTTATTATGCTTTAAATTACACAATCTATGTATGATAAGTAAGTAATACAACTGTCCGTGTGGTGACGGATTTAGAATACGGAATGTCACCATCCCTATTCATCCCGTGGGTGTCGTAAGAGCCGACTAAGGGGACATTACACAGGACAACAGCACTGCAAAGAGACAAACAAACCCTTTACCAACCCATCTAGCCAGCGTAGTATAAACCGAAACCTCCTTTCTAAGGAGAGGCCTATGTCCAGCAGTGAACTATTCAATGGTGCTGATGTGATGTGATGATGTGAATACAATTATGTTATAAAACAAGCAAGGAGAAAGCAATGTTACTATTAAGGGTGTCCCTCCTTAAACCTCCTTTCTCAGGAGAGGCTTATGTCCAGCAGTGGACTATTGAAGGCTGTTGATGATGATGATGATGATCTTACACAATCACAGTATAGTCTGTTTAATATGCTTATTCAATACGCATTGTTAGATAATACTTTTATTCCTTAGTGATACCTGCGTGACCGCGCGCCGCTAGTGGTCCAGGTTCCGCAGAAGGCATTGCCGTTCAGAAGAAGCGGCAGCGCGGGAGGCGGAGCTATTAGTAGGGTTGCTAAGGGTCCCCCTTCAGGCAGTGAAAAGCGGGCAAAAAGTGAGACCCGCCGCGAGTTGCTGGAGACACTGGAGCGAGAACTGTCGGGACGCCCCTACCGTATGGTTAGGGGCAGGATGCACCCATGGGCCCCACCGCTCACCCGGTGTCTTTAGCTGGAACTGCTTGAGGGGTCGTCGGCTCACTGTGCCCGTTACAACCGCCCACCTAACATTTATGACAACGACGTGCCAGAGGTCATTGGGCAGAACTAAGGGTAGCGGTTACGGGTAAGGGTACGGCTTAAAGCCAAAACCACCGCCCCGGGAACTGACGGCTGGGTCTCGAGGTGGCTCTTCACAAATCCGAGGTCTTATTCTTTCATGAAGATATCTAAGGGATCCAGCCTCATGGTAGGAGGAGCCCTCGATGAGGTATCTGGAGCTCATACTCGATGGCCGATGGGACTTCGGATATCATTTCCGAGGTCTGGTTAATAAGTTGGTTGGAGTAGCGCGTGCATCGGCGAGGCCCAACATGAGGGGACCCGATGACCCCTGCATGAGATTCTACTGGGTGGTTGTGCGGTTCATGGCCCTCTATGGGGCACCAGGATGTGTAGGGGCCTTGAAGGCCAGCAGCGTCGCACTACTGCGACAACCGCAGCAAGTGCTGGCCATGACTTCTTACGACCCAGGTCAAAAGAAGGTACCGCACGATCTCTTTTGGGACCGTGGGACCTGGAGGCGAGAGCCCTTGCGGCTCTGTATCAGTTGCGCAAGGAGGTGCGGGAGTCCTAAGGCTCGAGAAATCGAGGACCAGAAATCAAAACTCCACCGGGTCTTCGTAGAGGAGTGAAACGAACGACTTGGGCAACCAAGCTCCATGCACGCCATTATATCGGCGGTAAGCCCCATTATGGAGGATTGGCTCGAGAGGCATCACGGGACCCTCTCATTGCGGCTGACGCAGGTGATCACAGGTAAACGATGCTTCGGGGTTTACCTGTGTCTGATGCGCAAGGACCTGAGTGCCACCACTGCTATGGTCGGACCGTGGACACGGCACTCCACACGCTGGCAGAATGTGGAGCAGAGGCGTGGCCTCGTGGCAATTGCGGCCATGGTGCAGAGCGAGAGTGCGGAGAACTCCGCCGTCGCCAAGAAGATGACGGAACGGGACCGGGAGAGGTTTAAAACTCTCCGTCCTCCATAAGCGCAGGCCTGGGGGTGACAGGTAAGGCCATCTGTCAGCCTAGCAAAAGCAAGCCGGGGTGGCGGCGAGACGAGCTGCGGGAGCACAAAGGGGAAAAGGGGGGGGGGGGGATCATACAGAAAAAAAAATTGGCATACAATAAACCGGTTCGAATCAGTTCTTTCGTGTATGTAAACGACACCACTGAACCTAACCACTAGGGTGTCGTTTACAATTGTTTTTATGGTAACCACACCAATGGCGACTAGCGATGTATAACGTGAAATAAAACATTCGTTAGGTGTTAATTTTTAATGATAAAGATAAAATTGATCGAGCTCACAGAGAGTCTTTTTTTTTCTCGTATCTTTGTTACACTTCATCTGCTATCTTTAAAACGACTCCTGGAAACGTCCTGAAAAGCTTTATTAAAGTGATCATAGTAATGATTTTGCGAATGAATAATAATTGATTTCGATAAATGCTGTAACTTTCGGGTTAGAACATCAACAACACATTTCCCGAGTGGGTGATGTTACCTTATGCTCAACCTCCCCTCTCATTAATGCTGGAGGTGAGCTCATTAGTATCCCCTAACCTCCCCTGGTTGGGGGATACTAATGAGCTAGGTACGGTAGGAACCGACGAGTCTGCTAGTTCGTACTTTATATTGAAAAATGTACAATATTTTATGTGTAGATTATGCATGTTTAGATAAGATACCTAGTGACAGATATTTTTTGTAATCAACTAGTAAACACTTTATAGCCGCCATATCTTCATAACCAATTAAATGTTAATCTCAATATTGTTCGTAATAAAACATGTATAATATATCAGTTTCAATTTATTTCTTTCTTTAGAATAGGTACGTAAACGATTTATTTACTACTGAATTCCGCATATAATATGGGTTAGATAATAAGGGTACATAATATGGGTATAGTAACATCCATTACAAGCGAAATTCAACCATTTTAAATCGAACAACTGTCCGTGTAGTGAGTGATTGAGAATACAGAGTGTCACCACATCTAGTTAGTTGAGTTAGTCGTAAGAGTCGAATAAGGGAGCAAACTACGCAGAACAACAGCACTGCAAAGAGAAAGAAAACTTGAAACAAACCGCATACCAACCCGTCTGGTCAGCGTGGCATAGTGGGCCAAAGCCTCCTTTCTAAGGAAAGGCATATATCCGGCAGTTGAATATTAAAGGCTGTTGATGACGATGATGAAATCGAACTAAATTTTATTTTGAGTGTTGTTTAATCCATTAATAATTAGGTTAATCCATAAAAACAAATTTCAAAACCATTGCATTTGTTTTATAAACTAGCTTTGCAAGATTTTTTTAAATCAATTTAGTACTTTTGACCTGAAATCGTGACAAACAAACAGTTGCTTGAAAACCTTTTTTTTGGAATAGGGATCAAACGAGCAGACGCGTCACCTGATGGAAAGCGACTACCGCCGCCCATGAACGCCTGCAACTCAGGAGTCACAAGTGCATTTCCAGCCTTTGAGGAAGGAGTACGCTCTTTCTTGAAGGTTTGCAAGGTTTGTTTTTCATAAGCAGTTGACGTA